TGGGATTGTAAGAACGGCTAGTTGTTATATTTACAGGGGTATTTGGAATGGGATTGTAAGAACGGTTCATCATTCGCCTGTTGACAGGTGTATTTGGAGTAGGATTGTAAGAACGGTTTGTCGTTCGCTTATTGACAGGGGTATTTGGAGTGGGATTGTAAGAACGGCTAGTTGTTATATTTATGGGGGTATTTGGAATGGGATTGTAAGAACGGCTAGTTGTTATATTTACAGGGGTATTTGGAGTGGCATTGTAAGAACGGCTAGTTGTTATATTTACAGGGGTATTTGGAGTGGCATTGTAAGAATGATTTGTTGTTTTCTGATTGACCAGGGTATTTGGAATGGGATTTTCAGAAGGATTTGATGATTTTCTATTCACTGTAGTTGTAGTGGGACTGTAGGAATGATTTGAAGTTGTTGTCTTTACAGAGTCTGTTGGGTTGGGAATATAGGACAAATTTGAAAATCTAGTTTTAGAAGTATTTTGGTTACGAATATCATCAAACCCTGGAATTTGTTGACCATTTGAACCACTCCGAACTCTTGAGAGTGTTCTATTCAGAAGAGTAGTTGGAGTAGGATTGCCAGAAGGTGCTGAAGTTTTCTTATTCACAGGGGCAGCTGGAAGTTTATTGTGGGAAGATTTTGAAGTTTTCTTCTTCATCGGAATAGTTAGAGTTGGCTTGTGGGAAGGCTTTGTAGGTAATCTATTAGCAGGGATAGTATGAGTGAAACTGTTGGATGGTGAGGATCTATCCTTAGGGACTTGTGGAGAATGAATATTATAAGAATGTGGGGTTTCTCCAATCATGGGGGACATTTTATGGTGTTCCTGGGGAGGTATTGAAGATTTCTTATTTGCAACAGCCATTAAAGAAGCAAGATAAGAAGGGTTTGAAGGCTTGTTTGTAGGTACCTTTGGTGAATGATTATGGTGAAACTGTTTGACTTGTCTATTATCCAGTGTAGGTTGAGAAAAGCTATTCGAGAACATAGAGGGAACCATATTCACAGGTACATAATGGCTAAAAATATGAGAGCTTATTGGAAGTCTGCTATTTTCAGGGGCAGTTGGACTTGAATAGTGGGAAAAGATTGGTGAGGTATTTTTATGTCTTTTTGGAGGATGAGTATAATGAAACCGTGGAATTTGTCTGTTCGTACCTTGAGAAGGAACACTGAAAAATTTTGGCAATACTACATTCATAGGGGTAGTCAGACTGGGATTATGTGAAGGGCTTGGTGAGCTATTTTTCTGGATACTTGGAGGATGTATTTGTTGAAACTGTGGAATTTGTCTATTCTTGATAGTATCTTGAGGAGAAACACTGAAAAACTTTGGTGATACTATATCGATCGGGGCAATTTGACTGGGATTACGTGAAAGGTTTGGTGAGCTATTTTTCTGGATATCTGATGTATGAGTATGATGAAAGTGTGGAATTTGTCTGTTCATAACAGAAGCTTGGGGAGCGACAATGAAATACTTTGGTGATACTATATTGATCGGGGCAGTTGGACTGGGATTATGTGAAGGGTTTGGTGAGCTGTTTTTACGTATATTTGGAGGATGAGTAAGTTGATACTGTGGAATTTGTCTATTCATAACAGGAGCTTGGTGAGCGACAAAGAAAAACTTTGGTGATACTATATTCATAGGGGCAGTCGGACTGGGATTATGTGATGGGTTTGGTGAGCTATTTTTCTGGATATTAGGCATATGCGTATAGTAAAAGTGTGGAGTTTGTCTATTCTTAAGAGTATCTTGAGGAGGAACTTTGAAAATCTTTGGTGATACTATCTTGATCGGGATAGTTGGACTGGGATTATGTGAAGGGTTTGGTGAGCTATTTTTACGTATATTTGGAGGACGAATAAGTTGATACTGTGGAATTTGTCTATTCATAAGAGTAGCTTGGGGAGCGACAATGAGAAACTTTGGCGATATTATATTCGTATGGCTAGTTGGACTGGGATTATGCGGAGGATTTGGTAAGCGATTTTTCTGGATATTTGGAGGATAAATAAGTTGATACTGTGGAATTTGTCTATTCATGACAGTATCTTGAGGTGAAATGCTGAAAAACTTTGAGGATGCTATATTTGTAGGGGCAGTTGGACTAGGATTATGGAAACGGTTTAAAGAGCTATTTTTCTGGATATTTGGAATATGAGTATAATGAAACTGTGGAATTTGTCTGTTTGTAGCTTGAGGAGGAACATTGAAAACCTTTGGCAATACTATATTCATAGGGACAGTTGGACTGGGATTACGTGAAGGTTTTGGTGAGCTATTTTTCTGCATACTTGGAGTATGAGTATAATGAAAGTGTGGAATTTGCCCACTCATAGAAGTAATTTGAGGAAGAACATTGAAAACTCTTGTGGATACTATATTCAGAGGGGCTGTTGAAGTGGGATTGTGGGAAAATCCTGAAGATCGTTTTCTCCCAGGGGCAGATGAGGTGTGATTACGGGAAGATTTGGAAGCTCGCTTATTCCCAGAACCAGATGGAGTACGATTATGGGAAGATTTCCAAGATCGCTTATTCCCAGGAGTGGATGGAGCACGATTTTGGGAAGATTTTGAAGTGCGTTTATTCCCAGAACCAGATGAAGCACGATTATGGGAAGATTTTGAAGATCTCTTACTCCCAGGCACAGATGGAGCACGATTATGGGAAGATTTTGAAGACCTCCTATTCCCAGGCACAGATGGAGCATGATTATGGGAAGATTTTGAAGCTCGCTTATTCCCCGATGCAAATGGTGGATTGTGTTTTCGAGAGAGTTTTAAAGATCTCTGATATCGAGGGGCAGAAAGTATGTGACTGTGGTCAGGTGAAAATCTTGTGTTTACAGCAATAGATGATGTAGGAAAGTGGGAAAATGAAATTCTATCTGGAGTATCGATGTGAGGAAACCATGGGCTTTGTCCATTCATAGGATTACCCTGAAAAGGACCATGCAAAAGTTTTGAGAGTGCTGTCTTCAGAAGAATGTTTTGAGAAAAATGACTAGCAAGTGAAAATTTCCTGTTTCCAGGATAATGAGGATATGATGTGGGTCCTCTATTCCTAGCAACATTTTGGTTTAGACCATGGGAAATCACTAATGATCTTTTCAAGGAAGCATTTTGAGAAGCAGGATGGGAGACTCTTGATAATATTCTGTTCCTGGAAGGATTTTGACTGGGGCTGAGGAAAGTCACCAAAGAGGTTCTGATCAAAGGATCCTTATGAGGACTGAACAAAACTCTAGAAGATTTTACATTTGTGGAAGCATCTTGACTAGAACTGGGTGGAGATACCAAAAGACTGTGATTTACAGGTTCATCATGTTTAATGGTTTGGGAATAAATTGAAGAGCCTCTAATATGAGTACGAGGAGGTTTCAGAGAAGATCTTCCGCTAAGCGGAGATTTTTGATTATGAGTATGGGAAAACGTTGATGACTTTCTACTTACATATGTATTCAAATTAGGCATGTAGCGAGACATTGAAGATTTATTATTTGCAGGAGTTTTTTGCATTGGACTTTGGGATAATGCTGGAGGTTTGTTTCTATGCAATAATGGTGTGGGTATTCTTTGAGTAGGAATATGAAAGGACATTGACGGTCTTCTATTCAGAGAAGCGTATTGGGTAGAAGTAAGGAAAATCACAAAAGATTTACTATTCAAAGCAGAATTTGGAGTATGACTATGAAAGGACAATGTCTGTGTCCCACTCAGAGGCTCATTTTGTGTAGGCCTGTTGGAGGATGTCAGGGATCTGCTGTTCCTAATGATGTTTTTCCCATTTGGTGCGATTACATCAAGTTGTCTTAAAGCATTTTCAAGGATACCTACATCATTTTCAGTGGGATTTCTTTGAGAAAACTCTTTTTTTGTTTCAATTAGAAGCTTTTCCAGCTGGTGCACATTGGGGTGCTCCGATGCCGAATTTGGTAGCCCCCTAAACAAATTATTTGACTGTTTTAGCTCCCCTGTTACTTGTTTTTGACCTAGGATATTTTGGCTATCCAAGGAGCTACTGACTATATTACTCTGTGTCTCCCTATTAGACAATTCCCTCTTTTGTTCAGCATGGTCATACTTGAGACTTCCATTATGAGTGAAGAGACCTCTAACTGACCCTTTATTCATTTCATTAATCAACCCTTGGCTTTGCTTTGACTGTGTTGGCGTTTGTTTTCTTTTGAAAGGTTTTCTTTTCGGTGTTACCTCTTTGGTAGTACTTTGAGAAGTTTCTTCAGAATTTTCACTCTTTGATAGTATTAAATTCAACTGATCTAAGGCAGCTTTGATATTATTTATGTCATTTTTAGTTGGTTTTCGTTTTGAGAACTGCTTGTCCAAATCTTTCATTAAATTTTCAACAGAAGGTATGTCAGAATTCTTTGTTATCTCTGATAGACCTTGCGGCAATTCCTGATTATCTTGCTGTGCTAATCTGACTACTTTATATTGTTGCCCTAAGGATAGCTGATTATCAGAAGGAGTGCTGGATACTTGTTCAATGATTAAAGTTGGATTAAATGTATGTTGATGGTCAAGATCTCCTTCAGGAATGATCAAACTTCTGAGTAGCCCTTTGTGGTGAATAGTTCTTGTATTTTCTGTGATTGAGTCATTTTTTGGATGGATCTGTCGATTAATTTCTGTGGCATTCATGCTTAATGACTGGCTTTTCTTTAGAGGGTGATGGCCTCCTGTTTGAAGCAAATTTAGTGCAGTATTAATGTCATCCATGGTTACATTGTGGCTTGTGTCTGGACTGTGTGAGCTATGTTTCTGAAACACTTTGGTAGTAGTGGGTGAGCCATGTCTTTGAGAAGGTTTGGATACGGTAGATGAGCCATGTTTCTGAGATTGGCTGGTTAAAGTATGTAAATCATATCGCTGTGGTGTTTTGGTAATGGTTGTTGAGCCATGTTTTTGAGATGCTTTGGTTGCAGTCGGTGAGCCATGTTTCTGAGGTGATTTAGTTGTACTGGGTGAGCCATGTTTCTGAGATACTTTGGTTGGAGTGGGTGAGACATGTTTCTGATGTGATTTACTCGTAGTTGGTGAGCCATGTTTCTGAGATACTTTGGTTGGAGTGGGCGAGCCATGTTTCTGAGACACTTTGGTTGGGGTGGGCGAGCCATGTTTCTGAGATACTTTGGTTGCGGTGGGCAAGCCATGTTTCTGAGACACTTTGGTTGGGGTAGGTGAGCCATGTTTCTGAGGTTGTTTAGTAGGATAAAGTGAACCATGCTTTGGAGATAGTTCACTTGATGTGCCTGAACCCTGTTTGTGAGATGGCTTATTTGAAGTTGGTAAGCCATGTATGTGAGATCCTTCAGTTGAAGTGAAAAGATTAATTTTCTGAGATCCTTTGATTGGAGTGGGTGAGCCATGTTCCTGAAGTATGTTGGTTGGAGTGTTTGAGTTATTATCTTGCTGAGATGCAGTAGTTGACATGGAAAAGGCATTCAGCTGAGGAACAGTGGCTGACATGGAGAAATTGCCTTTCTGAGGAACAGGGGTTGACGTGGAGAAATTACCTTTCTGAGGAACAGGGGCTGAAGTGGAGAAATTACCTTTCTGAGGAACTGGGGCTGACGTGGAGAAATTACCTTTCTGAGGAACAGGGGCTGACGTGGAGAAATTGCCTTTCTGAG